CTCACCAGGAGCACGCCCATGCACGAGGTGAAGTCATAGCGGGTCTAGAAGGAAGGGAAGGAGGTGAGAGACTGTGGATATTGAGGGCCCTGAGGCTTAGGGCCTGTCTTAGGTTCCCCTTACCTGCATGGAGAAGATGACCACCGTGAAGCAGACAGCTGTGGTGATGCCCACTGCCATGATGACTGCCTCTGTGTTGTAAAAGCTGGCTATCATGCCCACCATGTAGGACAAGCTGACGGTCAGGATCGACTGCAGAAGAGGACCACAGGGGGCCGTGGGTGTGTGGCGATGCTCCTGGTCTAACCCCTATGTGCCCCCCTTTCCTGTTCTACAGGCCTAGGGGTACTGGGCTCAGGTTTGGGAGTTACCAGAGCAACAAGGTTCCAGGGATGCTTTCGCCGGAAGTCCCCACAGCAGCTGAGGACAATGAGGGAGATGAAGAAGATGGCGTAGGAGACATAGTAGGTCCAGACATTCTCCCGGACAAAGCCCTTCACTTCCCCAACAAAAGTGAAAACGGCCACAGTCGACAGGGTCACTGACAGCTGCAGGGTCAGCACCAGAAACACCTGGGGAGGGAACAGATTAGAGCCTCACCTCAGCAGCCTCCCCATGAGTCCTCCCAGCTTACACACTTGCCAGGCCCAACCTTTCTGATGAAGGCCTGTCGAATGTTCTTGTCCCAGTTGACAGCGGGGAAGTCCTGGTTGTCATAGTAGGATGGAGGTCCTTCTTCCTGGTAGTTCCCATGCTGCGGTGCTGGGGGCACAGGGGCTGGGTCAGTGTCCCATTGAGGACAGCTGAATCCCTGCCCCTGCCCCTGCCCCTGCCCCATGTTTCCCTACACTTACAGCCAGGGTCCTGGAAGGGTGGTGGCTGCCCATAGGGGTTGGGGGGGAAGGGGCTCTGTGGGTATGGCCCTTGTGGGTAGCCTCCTTGAGGGTAGGGTCCCTGGGGGTAGCCACCTTGTGGGTAGGGGCTGGGCCCATGGGGATAGCCTAGCTTACCATAGGGGGAGGGCTGGAAGGCAGGCTGTGGGTATGGGGCTCCAGGGTAAGGAGGCTGAACATAGGGAGGCATAGGGGGTTGGGGCCCCACAGGATATCCAGGGTTTGGGGGAGGATAGCTGTCCCCAGACACCAAGAAACTCTTTTCGTGGGACATGGCCTCGGGTTCTGTGGCTGCCCCTAGAGGAGAAAAAGGGAACAGTTACCTCTGAGAGACTGGAACCAGTGACAACCCCACCTGCTCTCAATCCAGGAAGAAAAAAAAAAAGCTGGACCACGACCTTTGTACGGGGCTTTAGGGAGCCTCAGAACAGGGAGGCAGGGAGCGTTGGGTGGGGCTCGGGGAGACCGATGTGGAGCCTTGAAAGGGGCTGCTCTAGATCATCTAGTGTGTGTGTGTGTGGGGGGGGGATGGGAGAAAGACTGATGGTTGTCAGCCTAGGCTTGGAGCTTGGAAGATGCCTTCTGACCGCCGCGGGTCTTTCGTGTTGGAGCTCAGCAACTAAGGGTCTGGGGGAGTGGCGCTGTGGCTGGGGGAGCGTGGGGGTGTGCCCCGGCCCTCCCTCTCCTATTCCGCCTATTAAGCAGCTTGAAGGGGCCAGCGCCAGCGGCTATTTCTATCCCAGGAAATCCCCAGGCCATCTGTGACTAGCCGGAACCCTGACCCTCCTCCTAAGCACAGGGCCGAATGTCCCTAGCTCCGGGTGCTGAGAGCAGGCCTGTATTGGCTGCTAAGGTGCCTGCTAGTAGGGTACGCCAGGAACAGCGGGGTGCGGGGGTGTGTGGGGGATGGAAACGACCAGAGGGCGTTCAAGGGAACAAAGCGGGGATAGGGACGACGGGGGAGGGGGCGGTGGCCATAGAACGCGTCCGGAGGGCCGATGGGCCCTCCCGCTGGGTGGGTGGGGGTCGCTGGGCCTCCAGTCTGGGCCGCTGCAGTGTGCCACCCCCTCTCGCCTGCTCAGGGCCGCAGGAGCGCCCCACCCCCAATGATGCTACCAGGCTGGGCGAGC